CGTACGTGCAGGCACGGGTTGCATGCGTGGCGGCGGCCTGTGTGTCATCCTGCTGGGGTGCACGTGCGCCCAGCGCCGCCGGGAGGGCTGGGGGACACCCGGAAGCCCGCAGGGTCTCAAAGCGAAGTCGGCTGTGGGCCCCAGGCACCGAGTTTCGCGCGTGGCGGGAAGGGGAAAGGGGGTGGAGGCCGATCCCGTGCCCCTTCCCCTCCCCGGGAGACTTTGGGCAGCCCAGGTCGGGCTGTGTCATGGGGAGAACCCAGAGCCTCAACAGGGGAGGTGGGAGGTGGGAGGACACCCGCGACGTGCGATCCAACCCTCCAGGAGAGTCGCTGCTGGCCACAGTTGTGCAGGAATCGTTTTCCTGGCCTTTCTCAATGTCCATCCCGAGGCCCCCGGAACTGCTCTCCAAAGGCGATGTGATCCGGCCCCTGGGGCCCTGCCCTCTCCTAGTGCTTGCTGGCCTAAGTGTGTGGCTCTGGGAAGGAGGCACCTACATTTTGGCTACTGTCTTCAGTGGGGAGGGGCCTCGCTTGAGGGAATGGATACTGGACCCTCCATCCCCGCTAGTGGGAGATAAGGTCACCCCCACACGGCTGTCTCCCTTGAGCACCCCCCCAAAGACTCCTGTCTATTGGCTGGGTCCCAGGTGGGGTTTCAAGAAGTCTCCAGGGCAGAGGGCACTCGATGGGGGCTGAACCCTGGAGAAAAGGACTCCTGGGGCGGGGGGTGGGTATAGAGCAGGCCCCAAGGAGTGTGGGGGGGGCGGGGGGACCAGAGCCAGCACTTAATTAACCCAAAGCTTCCCGAGGGCGGTGGTGGGGGTTCAGCACCCCCCAAACCCTACAACTTCTTACAGTACTGCTGTGCAGCAAGGTTGGGTTTTGCCTCTGTCCTAAGACACTGCTCTTTGTGGTCACCTGTGGCCTAAGAGACCCTCCTCTTTTCTCTAGGCTGGCCCAAGGGGATGTGCCAACTTGCTTTATTTTATTTTATTTTTTGAGTTGGAATCTCACTCTGTCGCCCAGGCTGGAGTGCAGTGGCAAGCTCACCACGACCACCGCAGCCTCGATCTTTCTGTCTCAGCCTTCCAAGTAACTGGAACTACAAGCATGCGCCACCATGCCCAATTTATTGTAGAGATGAGGTCTTGCCAAGTTGCCCAGACTGGTCTTGAACCCATGGGCCAGGCAATCCTCTCATCTCCACCTCCCAAAGGGCTGGCATTATGGGCGTGAGCCACTGTGCCTGGCCCAACATGGCTTCCTTAGTGCAGTCGGGCTGGGGTGGGAGTGGGCACTGGCCCCCATGCTACCTTACCTTTCCTGTCCCCAAAATACGCTGGTGTAACTCTGAGCCAGTGGCTGTCATTGGCCGCCAGCCAGAAGAGAGGAAAAGGCTGGTCCTTGCTTGCCAATGTACTGAAACCTGTGGCAGTTGCCCCGTGACCTCATCACAGCAAGACTGAACTGATTGATCTTTTCTAAGGGTGTCAGGAAGGAGGATGCTGGCTGAGGGAGTTGGAAGCAGGTCAGTGTAGCCCCAGCAGACGAGCTTCAGATGGACCCCATGCTTGACCTCTCTAGGCCTGGCTCCCCATCTGTCCGTACAATGGGAGTAGTTGCCAACTAGCACTTTGTGGTCCCTGGGGCCTCCCCCCTGTCCTTTACCAGGTGCTGTCTCCCCAGGTGCCTTGGAATAGCCATCTGCAGCTGGAGGGCTAGGGATGGACCTAGGCTCTTTTCCCCAGGTGGGCCCCCTTCCTCTGGCACCACAGCACCATCTGCTGGACAGTCTTGACCCTCCTGCCGAGACAAGGAAGCTGGGCGTGAGAGGGCGTGGTTTGCACAGACTGATCCCCTGTCTCCTCTCCTGGAGGAATTTCCTCCAGAGCCAACCCCAGTATCTCAGCATTGACTCTGAGCCTGGGGACAGGGGTTCGAGACCTGACTCTGCCATTTTTGGTAAGATCGGCAGATCAGGGAAGCATCACAAGAAATCTGAATTTGTAGACCGCGCCTGGATTCCATGTCTAGCCACAGTGGGCATCTTAATATCACGATGGCGGCTTGGAATCGGAGCTTGTAGTGGGATGCAGGAGGCCTGCTTCTCATCATGCCTCTCATAAGTGACTTTGGGGTGGATGGGTGTCCTTATCTGTGTATAGGGGTGCGGCAAGGTGAGTCAAGCCAGGTGTCCTTCGACTGCCCTGCCAAGTCTGAAGCCCCAAGGAGAAAGGGTCTTGGGAGTCATGGAAGAAGGCTGAATGGAGGGGCTCCTAGAGTGAGGGTGGGGTTATGTGTGGGAGAATTCATTAAGAGTTTGAAACCCCTGTATTCTAGATCTCATACACTCAGTGCTCTTTTTCTGAAGTAGACAGGGTCTTGCTGTGTTGCCCAGACTGCTCTTGAACGCCTAGCCTTAAGCAATCCTTCCACCTCTGCCTTCCAATGTGCTGGGATGGCAGGTGTGAGCCACCGCACCCAGACTTACAGTCTTAGCTGAGCATCAGTTAGGCACCAGGGTCTCATGTGAGTGGCGAGTCTGGGAGAGCAGCAGCCCTCTTGCTTGTCTGGAGCCCCTTTCTCTGACAGCCCTGCCTCTCTTCATCTCTTCCAGGTCTGCAGTTGAGTAGCAGGAGCCCAGGAGGGCCTGAGGCCTACGCAGTGATGGCAGAGAAACGGCCCCTGGGGACCTTGGGGCCTGTAATGTATGGCAAGCTGCCCCGCCTAGAGGCGGATTCAGTGCCAGGGCCCAGCCTACCCCCCTCTGCTGGCAGCCAGGACCCCTGCGGCTACAAGGGGGCCTACTTCTCTTGCCCCGTGGGGGGTCCCCCCAAGGCTGGGTCTGAGCGGTTGGCATCCTGGACCCCGTACCCTCCCTTGTACCCCACCAGCATGACAGGAACCCCGCTTCACACAGACGGCCTGCTGACCAACTGCCTGGTCTACCGCTCGCCAGCAGAAGGCTCTGAGAAGATGCAGGACTCCGGCCCCATTGAACTTCCCTTCAGTCCCCAGGCTCATTCCTACCCAGGCCCACCGCTGGCTGCCCCCAAACCTGTCTACCGAAACCCTCTGTGTTACGGGCTCTCGACGTGCCTGGGGGAGGGGGCGCCAAAGAGGTCCTTGGACGTTGACTGGACGCTGGTGAATGGGCCCCTGCTGCCCTTGGCTGACCCACCCTGTTCTCTGGCCCCGGCTCCTAGCAAGGGCCAGACCCTGGATGGCACCTTCTTGCATGGGGTGCCCCCAGGGGGATCTAGCAAAGACTCCTCGGGGGGCTTCTCCCCATGCCAAGCATTCCTGGATAAGTATCGGACCATCCACAGCACGGGCTTTCTGGCCTCTAAGTCCTCGGGCCTTTACCCTGGGAACCCCAAGCAGGCCGTGTCTGAGGGGCCCTCCAGTCCTTGGACCCAGCTGGCCCAGCCCCTGGGGCCACCCTGCCAGGATGCTGGGCCCACCCACTACCCACTGCCCCATCCTCCACAGACCCTCCCTTGTCCACCAGCCTGTCGCCACCCAGAGAAGCAGGGTGGCTACAGCTCGGTGCTCCCACTGCAGCCTCTGGGAGCCCACAAGGGGGCCGGGTACCAGGCTGGTGGACTGGGCAGCCCCTACCTGAGGCAACAGGCAGCCCAGACACCCTACATGCCCCCGGTGGGGCTGGATGCCTATTCCTACCCCTCTGCTCCGCTCCCGGCACCCTCACCAGGCCTCAGGCTGGAGCCCCCTCTCACTCCACGGTGCCCCCTGGACTTTGCCCCCCAGACGCTGAACTTTCCTTATGCCCGGGATGACCTCTCTCTCTATGGAGCATCCCCAGGGCTTGGAGGAACACCGCCTTCCCAGAACAATGTGCAGACTGTGCCCCAGCCTGGTGCCTTCCAGCGAACGTGCCAGCCTTTGCCAACCAGCCAGCCATGCCCAGAGCCTGTGAAGCCTGCACAGGAAGACGGAGAGAAAGCATGGCTACCCAGCTGCAGGAGGGAGCGGCTCCAGCCCCGCCTCAGCGAGCACCCTGGGGCACCCATCGTCATCCGAGACAGCCCCGTTTCCCGCACCCCCCCGCCCCTGCCCCCATGTGCCCAGGAGCGCCTGTCTCTTCCACAGAAGGAGGGTGCAAGGCCACCCAGCTCTCCTCCGATGCCTGTGATCGACAACGTCTTCAGCCTGGCCCCCTACCGTGACTATCTGGATGTGCAGACACCCGAGGCCACTGCCCAACCTGACTCGGCCCCAGCTGAGCCTGCCTCGGCCCCCGATGAGCCTGACTCCGCCCCAGCTGAGCCTGACTCTGCCCCAGCCACCAATGAGAGCCAGGACAAAGGCTGCAGGGGAACCCTGCCTGCCCAGGAGGACCCAGCAGGGCCTCACTGTTCACTTAAGGAGGAGGTGGCCCTGGACTTGAGTGTGAGAAAACCCACAGGGGAGGCTTCCCCTGGCAAGGTCCCTAGTCCCGGGGTGCATGCCAAGCCCACTGTAGCTGTGGACGCACCAGGTGTGGGCAGCATAGTGTCCGATCCACCAGGCCTGAAAAAGATTGTCACAGAAGCCTCGGGGTTGTCTGGGGTGCCGGTGACCACAGAGGCCATGCCAAGGACCAATTTCCATAGCTCTGTGGCCTTTATGTTCCGAAAGTTCAAGATCCTCCGTCCAGCACCCTTGCCTACAGCCATGGTCCCATCCACGCCCGCCTCGGCTCCCGTCCCTGCACAGCCTGCACCCACGCCCACATCTGTGCCCATAGGACTGCAGATTCTCACTCAGCCCTTGCCTGTGACCTGCTTCAACCTGGCATTGCCCAGCCCTCCAGTTGTAGCTGTGACCTCCCCTGTCCCGGCCCCGGCCCCGGCCCCGGCCCCGGCTCCGGCTCCTGCTCCAGCTCAGGTTGCAGGCCCTGCTCCAGCACCTGCTCCAGCCCCAGCGGACTCCCCAGAGCAGCGCTTTACAGGGCTGCATGCGTCCCTGTGTGACGCCATCTCAGGCTCAGTGGCCCACTCCCCACCGGAGAAGCTGCGCGAGTGGCTGGAGATGGCTGGGCCCCGGGCCCGGGCCGCGTGGCAGGACTGCCAGGACGTGCAAGGGCTACTGGACAAGCTGTTGTCCCAGCTGCAGAGCTTCGTGTGCACACAGTGGTGCCCCTTCCCCCACGTGGTGCGCGCTGGCGCCATCTTTGTGCCCATCCACCTGGTGAAGGAGCGGCTCTTTCCCCGGCTACCGCCAGCCTCTGTGGACCACGTGCTGCAGGAGCACCGTGTGGAGCTGCGGCCCACCACGCTGTCGGAGGAGCGGGCGCTGCGGGAGCGCGCCCTGCATGGCTGCACCTCCCGCATGCTGAAGCTGCTGGCACTGCGCCAGCTCCCTGACATCTACCCCGACCTTCTGGGCCTGCAGTGGCGTGACTGTGTGCGCCGCCAGCTGGGTGAGCACGGGGCGGCCCCAGTAACCACCAGAGCTGTGTGAGCGAGTGACAGGTGTGTGCACCGTGTGAGTGGGTCGCAGACGGGACTGAGTGGTTCCAAGGTCTGCTGGGGTGGGCTCTAGGGACTTGCTTCCCTCTTGACGCTCCGTGAGCGCCATCATAGCCTTCTTTGGAAACCTCTGAAGATGCCAGCTGCTCTGTTCCCGTGGAAACTCTTTCCTGGATTCCCTCCTCTGCTTGTCTCTTCTCCATCGTTGGTGTGGACTTTTCCTTCGGTGTTCCTGGGCCTTTGGCCCGGCCCTGTTTTCTATCTGAGGTCATCTGTGTCTGTTCATCCAGCCTCCCCTCTTCAGGACTCTAGCCCGATATGACCCGCTGCATGCTGGACTTTTGCGCCTGGGTGTCTCTCATATCCCAAATCCCAGCCCTGAGTCTTCTGCTAAGCATACTTCCTGTCCCCAGTCTTTTCCATCTCAGTGAAGGGCAGCCCTCTTCACAAAACTCTTGTGCCCAAGACTCAATGGGGGTCCCAGCTTTGCCTTTTGTTGTTTTTTTGGTTTGTTTTTTCTTTTGTTTTGTTTTTGCATTGGAGTGTCACTCTGTTGCCCAGACTGGAGTGCAGTGGCATGCTCACTGCCAACCCAGCTTCAACCTGCTGGGCTTAGGTGATCCTTCTGCCTCAGCCTGGAGCTACAGGTGTGCACCACCATACCCAACTAATTTTTTAATGTATTGTAGAGGCTCCATGTTGCCCAGGCTGGTCTTGAACCCATTGGCTCAGGATTTCCTCTTGCCTCCGTCTCCCAAAAAGCTGGGATTACGGCGTGAGCCTGTACCCGGCTAGCATTGCCTTTTGAATGCATGGCTTTTTAGTCCTCCCGGGCACTAACACATACAGAATGTGCCAGAAGTCAGAACCTCGTTTGTGGTTTGCATTTCTTCTTCTTTTTTTTTTTTTTTTGTGATTTGGAGTCTCACTCTGTCGCCCAGACTGGAGTGCAATGGCCACTCTGGCCACTGCAGCCTCGACCTGCTGGGCTCTGGTGATCCTTCTGCCTCAGCCTTCCAAGTAGCTGGAACTACAGGTGCGCACTACCACACCCGGCTAATTTTTTGATTATTGTAGAGATGAGGTCTCGCCAAGTTGCCCAGGCGGGTCTCGAACCCGCTGGCTCAGGCAATCCACTCACCTCAGCCTTCCAAGGCGCGGGATTACAGTTCTGAGCCACTGAGCCCGGCTTGCATTTCTTCTACCAAGCATCTTGCACCTCCTGTTCTGCAGTTTGTTTTTTTGTGTGTCCTGGAGAACCACACAACAGCTGCAGCGTGATGTGGTGTGTACAGTCACACTTCTTTGGCCAGGACTCTGGTAATGGAACCAGGTGGTTTCTGTCATTACCTCTCTGGCATCCATATACCTGGTATCGAGGCCCCTGGCCCTCTGCTCCCCCTACCTTCCGCCACATTCCCACTTCTGTCTAGGCTGCGTCCCTGAAGAAACCATTGCTTGTTCCATGGCTGTCCTGGCAGCCTTACCTGGGCAAGTCTCTGGGTCAGGTGGAAAAGAGCCTGAGGCCTGAGGTTTGGAGCATGGGGTCTGGCAGGCCAGCACTGCTGATCCCTGAACATGTTGGAAGTTGGGGCAGATGCCTTAATGAGATGTAGAAAAAAATGCAAGTGCGAGCGTTCTGTTTCTGAGTGAGAAAGTACGGGTGAGTGTCCTGTGTCACTCAGAGGCCCAACTAGCCCAGTCCTTTCCCTGTACTTTTGGGCTTTGGGGGCCCCAAGAGGGTCAGGTCCATTTTTTCTAGGGGGCAGTGGAGCTCAGGCATGCCATGAGATCCTCTCCTTCTCTTGACTCCAGCCTGTGAGTCTGGGGCCTGGTGAGGAAGTGACGTGGGCCCAGCTTCCTGCTACTGGCTGGACTTCGTGTCTCCCTCCATCATTGGGGCCATCATTCTGTGGGTGCCCCTAGACAGTTATTCCCGCCTTTTTTTTTTTTTTTTTTTTGAGTTGGAGTCTGTCTCTGCTGCTCAGGCTGGAGTGCAGTAGCACGCTCATGGCCACCGCAGCCTCGACCTGCTAGACTTAGACGATCCTTCCACTTCAGCCTTCCAGGTAGCTGGAACTACAGGTGTGCGCCACCATGTCCAGCTAATTTTTTTTTTGAGTCGCCCAAGCTGGAGTGCAGTGACACACTCAGGGCCCCCCAGCGTCGACCTACTGAGCTCCAGGGATCCTTCTACCTCAGCCTTCCAAGTAGCTGGAACTACAGACACATGCTATCATGTCTGGCTAATTTTTTTATTTTATTTTATTGTAGAGACGAGGTCTCGCCAAGTTGTCTGGGCTGGTCTCAAACCCACGGGCTCAGGCAATCCACTCACCTCGGCCTCCCAGAATGCTTGGATTACAGGCTGAGCCACCGAGCCCGCCAAATTTTTTATGATTTATTGTAGAGACAAGGTCTCACCATGTTGCCCATCTTGGTCTTGAACCTGTGAGCTCAGGCAGTCCTCTTGCCTCCACCTCTCAAAGTGCCGGGATTACAGGCGTGAGCCACTGCACCCGACTTCCTGCCTTGATTTCTTAAGGATTCCTGAGCTCCCCTGGCAGTTTTTCTTCCCAGGAGATATGCTGTTGGTCAGGGGCCCCTCCCGTCCCCTCTGTCGTCTTCCGGGCATTGCTTTCAGGACAGTCCCTACCTGAGCTCCAACTCTGTCTCTGGGGGTGGTATGGCGGAAAGGTGATCACCTTCCTATGTACAGTGGGACCTTCTCTTTCCATGCCTCAGTTTCCCCAGCTGTACAGTGGGGCTCTGGACAGGCCAATGGTTCCTGACCTGCAGGGCTCTGTTCCTTTCATTGTTGTACCTAGACAGCCTCTCCTGAGTGATGCCCTCATCACATGGCACTCTGGTGCCACCTGGGGAGAAGCACACCTCTTCCGCTTGGATGGTCCAGCCAGTGGGCACATGTGGGGAAGCGCTGTCATGTCTTGTGACCCTGCTGGTGCCATCCTGGCCTGGGGCAGGGCAGAACCACTATTCCAGATGGCTTTGGAGGCTAGAAGGTGGGACCTGACTACGGGTTCTGCAGCCTGACGATGTGTTCATTTTTTAGGTGACTTTGACACTGAGGCTGGAGCTGTGTCCTCAGAGCCCACCATGGCCAGAGACGAGCCAGAGAGCCTACCCCTGGCTCGGAAGTCACCAGCCCCCAAGGGCAGGAAGCCAGGGAGGAAGCCACTAACCCCTGGCCCGGAGAAAGCAGAGGCATCTGCTGGGGGAGGGTCCCGTGGTGCCTCACCTGCCCCCGCTGCCAACGCCAGCCCACCCAGCTCCGCACTGAAGGCTCGCTTCCGCAGCCTGCTGGAAACCAACTGGCTCAATGGCCTGGCACTGCCCACGTGGGGCCACAAAGCCTCGGGACCAGACCGGCCCTCGCACTGCCCACAGCTGCTGGGCAGCCAGAGCCATCATCTGTAGCACCAGCTGCCGGGGCGGTGTGAGCCACTTGCTGTTGGGGGTTCCTCTCCACCCTCCCTCTGCCTTCCCAACTGCCCTGGGCCAGGAGTAGACAGGGCTGTGACAACTTACCCACAGGGTCTCCCGCTGTCACCCTGGCTGGGCTGGGAGCCCCTGAATTTTTCACTTAAGGGTCTTTATTAGGCCTCCTCCCTGTTTCTTCCCTGAAGAAAACGCGTGGGCTTTGGAGCCTGACAGACATGGGCTCAAACCGTGGCTCCTGTGTTCTGTTACCTGAGTGAGACACTTCACCTCTCTTGAGCCCTCGTTCCCCAAGTGTAAAATAGGACAACACAACCTACCTCACAGGGTTGTTGTGGGGATGACACCTGACACCCATTACGGTTTGGTTTCTGCGCCCTCCCCGGACAGGCCTGGTCTAGGAGGCTGAGGCAAACGGATCCTTCCCGCAGAAAGTCTTCACGTGTCAAGGGACATGGTTATCTTACAGTGGTACATTGTATGGTGGATATGACCCCCGCTCTCTCGAGTTACCCCCGTCATTTGGGACTGGCCCTGGCTCCCAGCCTGGAGCCCCCACTACTGGTGCAGGGACACATCCTTGTTGGGGCCTGCTGTTCCTACCCCTGGAGGCCTGTCGAGAATTGACATCAGTGACCTCCCTGAACTGGAGCAGGCAGACTGAGTGGTGGCTCAGTCCTAGGAGGTCTCAGGAGATCTGAAGTGGGGACTCTGATACTCCCCAAGCCAGGGCCCGTCTCCAGGCCTGTGGGCCACCTGCCTACACAGGGCTGAACTGAGCAGAGTCTGGCAAGCTGGGGCTCTGGTAATTTTTAAGGGTTTCTGGTGAGCCTGTGGGCTCTGGAGACAGGCTATTAAAGCATCTGACTTGTTTTTGGAACTGGGGCCTAGCTGTGTGCCTGGGGATGGGTCTCATGTTCCATCACACTGTGCCTGGCTGTGCCCTCCCTGCTCTTAGCCCAGAAGGTACTGAGAGTCTTCAGCACCATTATCTGGCTCTGACCATGTGGGGCTGTCTCACGCCCACTGGCCCACTCAAGGAAAGCCTTCCTCTTGACCCTCCTTTGGGGACTGGTGGTTGTCTGCAGCCCAGTGAGAAATGCTGGTCATCAGACCCTGGAATGTGTCCCATGACCAAGAATGCATCCCTCACAGTCTGGGTAGAACTGTCATCCCCTCCCCATGCATCCCATTGACCTTAGCTAGTGGGGGGGGGCAGGGCCCACCCTCCAGAGACCCCCATCTCCGTTGGGTTCTGTTCCCCCAGAGGTTTGTTCTCTGGGACAGTTGAGATGGCTTCTGGGCCTTGGTTTCTCCACCTGGGCCAGGGGCCAGTCCACTAGGCCTGACATCTTGGTGGGTGTGCACCAGGCCCAGCCACGCTGTCCTGCGGTCGGGATTCTGGGTGGCAGCTGCCATCATCCCTTGTACACTGTCCATACAGACCCGAGGAGACTCATCTGGCCTGTGAGGGGATAGGCACATCGTGGTCACTGTAGTGACAGCCTGGGGTAAGGGCCTTTGCTTAACCCGAGGGTGGGAGGTGTCCTTGGGTTCCAGAAGAGGCTATACCTGAACTGGGTCCTGAAGACAAGTAGGAAGTAGTCCGGAAGGGACACACACAAAGACCTGGAGTGAGTCTGGAACAGAGAAGTCCCCTAGCAGGGCTGGAGCCCCCTAGAGCCGGAAGGGTGGGGTATAGCTGGGAAACCTGGCTCACAACCCAGCATGAATCCCACAGCCTGAAGAAGGGGCTGTGGGCCGCTGAAGTACAGAGTGGGACCAGTTGAGTCTGCTCATGGAGGAGGGGAGAATTACTACAGTTGGAGGTCCCTGAATCCGGGCCCCATGCAGCCATGAGTGGCTCTTCAGCCCCCTCAGCGGTGTTCACCTCATTGCCAGTCTTGCTGGGTTTGGCCCTCCCCACTGGTCTTTGCCTTCTGCCTCGCCCCCACCCACCTGTGCCTGTGTTCCATGCCGGGCAATTTCTTCAGCGCAGGAACAGGCGGGGCTCAGAGGACCACCCTATGGTGCAGAGGCCGGCTTGGGGTGGTGTCCAGCCAGCCCTGACTGGAGGAGGCAACTCTGTCCTGGGAGCCCCCAGCTCCCATATGAGGGGAGACACCAACCTTGCCCTGAGAGTTCTAATCTAAGGAACATGTGGCTGTTTCCCAGGGACCCCCAGCCTGAGCTGGTGGGGACAGGAACAGGACTCTGCCCAGGGCTCCCAGTTCAAGGGAGGCAGTGCCCCAGCCTGGCTACTGCCCCTCACCAGGGTTTTACACAACCTTTTGGTGGCAAAGAAGAGCTGAGGGCCACAGACGGTGTGGAAAGCTGAATGTGCTGCCCCACACCCAAGTTGACAAGCTGGGTCCATCTCTGCTTTGGTTGATGTGGCTCTTCTGGTCCCACAAGTCCCGGTACCCCCGAGGCTTCTGGGCTGGGATGAAGCAGGGCTTCTCAATCATCTGGAAACAGTTTCATGGATTCCATCAAGAATGTCCTTAGGGCCAGGTGTGGTGGCTCAGCTTGTAATTCCAGCACTTTGGGAGGCCAAGGCGAGAGAGAGGATTGCCTGAGCCCAGGGGTCCAAGACCAGCCTGGGCAACTTGGTGAGACTTGTCTATACAATAAGTCACAAAAACTAGCCAGGGCGTGGTGGTGTGCGTCTGTAGTTCTAGCTACTTGGAAGCCTGAGATGGAAGTATTGCCTGAGTCCAGCAGGTTGAGGCTGCGGTGGCCATGAGTGTGCACTGCATTCCAGCCTGGGCAACAGAGTGAGACTTTAACTCAAAAAAAAAAAAAAGAATGGCCTTAGTCAGGCACGGTGGCTCACGCCTGTAGTCCCAGCGCTTTGGAAAGTTGAGGCGAGAGGATTACCCAAGCCCAGGTGTTCAAGACCAGCCTGGGCAACTTGGTGAGACATTGTCTCTATAATAAATCAAAAAAGAAAAATGAGTTGGTTGTGGTGGTACACTCCTGTGGTTCCAGCTACTTGGAAGGCTGAGGTGGAAGGATCGCCTGAACCCAGGAGGTTGAGGCTGTGGTGGCCGTGAGCATGCACTCCAGCCTGGGCGACAGAGTAAGACTCCAACTTAAAAAAAAAAGAATGGCCTTAGGGAGAGCCCAGGAATCTGGGTTTTAATCAATCTTCCAAGATGATTTTGAGTCGAATGTCAGACGTTGTATTTTGAGTAACACCGATCACCAGCATACCTCCCTCTCAGGTTACAGATGAGGAAACAGGTCCCGGGACTTGCCAATAGTCACATCAGCTCCAGGGCTGTGTCAAGAGCCGGTTCTGAGGGCTCTAGGCCAGCTGGACAGGTCTTGACCCCTGGCACTTGGCCCGTTGGCCTAACCCAGACCTGCCCTCAGCTGGGCTCTCTGCCCCAGGTGTCCTTGTTGGGCCAACACATGCATCACTTGCCCTGAGTTACTAGGATGGGGCTCAGGTAAAGCTTCAGCTTGGGTGAGGCCCAGCCTCCCAGACGCCTGGCATCCCTGCTCAGTACAAAAGGCGGAGGGATCTGAGCATCTGGCTTTGCCAATAGGAGTTAAGCCTGCAGAGAGGTGAGTGGGAAGGAAAGCTGGTGTCTTGGAGAAGCAGGAAAGTAGAACCATGTCTGGGGTGGTGAATAAGACCCCCAGCTTCTTGGTGACCACCAGGCATCTCCTTCCCTGGCTTGTTTAAGGGGGTTGGGTTTGAACAGTCTGGGTCTCCCCCAACCCCCCGGTGATACTGGGAACAGGGCTGACTCTGACCTGACTGGCTGTGCCTCTCCTCACCCTGTAGCCCCCTTGCTGGAGATGGGAGCAGTGATTCCAGCTGGTGGGCCGAGGAAGCCGGGGGTGGGCATGAGTGGGGAAGGCTACCAGGACAGACGCTGGCGGGTGTCCTCTATGCTCTCTGGACCCTTCCATGGGCAGCTCCCACCTTTAGACACACTCCCAAGGGGGAATTCCCGGCTCACTGTGCTCTTCTGGGCCCCTCTCTGCTTCCAGAGGTGAGAATGGCAACAGGACGGGGGGGTGTGGCAGAGTCCCTCGCATCTGCCCTCGCTGGACATGAACCCCTGGGCTGGACGTGAGCCCCTGTGCTGGACTGAGGCTGGCCAGCAGGTAGGGCACTCCTTGAGTGCCCCTTAGGCCTGCTGCCTCCATGGGGACCCAGCTCTGGGCATTCTAGCCTTTGTTTGCCCAGAGGCACCTGCATTGGGGAGTACCCCTCCTGACATAGCCCCTGGCCTCAGCCTGGCCTGATCACTGCCTCCCACACCCCGCCTCTGTCCTAGAGGGACTCTACTCCCAGGTCCCTGCAACATCTTGGAACAATGAGAGCCTGGGCTCCTGGAGAAGGGGGTGCTGAGCCCCTTGGAAGGACCTCAGAGGCCTCTTGTAGGATCACTAGGTCTACCAGGGGGTATTGCTTCCTTCTCTAATAGCCACTGGGTAAAGGCATCTGCAGACCCCTTTCTTGCTCAGATTGGGATGACGGGGCCAGGGCAGTCCCCTCTCCAGGTCCTGGCTGTAGCCCCCAGTTCCTCTCTTAGCTATAATTCTGAGCAACCCCAAGCTTAGTGCCCATTTCACAAACCCTACAAACCTCTTAGACCTAAGTACCCCCAACCCCTCAAAGGGACTGGGGCTTCAGCCTGGGGCCCCATGACACAGAAGTTTCTGCCAGCCTCATCTGCTGAGGCCTCGGCTCTCCCTTCTGAAGCATCCTCAGTGAGGCCTGGGCTCCCAGCTGCCTTGAGTAGGCAAGAGACCCCAGGGACAGCCACTTCTCAGCGAGGCCTGAGTCCTCCAATGGGCCTGAGGCCTCCTGCCTGCCTTTCCACGAAACTTTGGCATCTCCCCTGTGATGGAGATCTGGGGTAGCTCTGTTCAGCCTTTGCTGCCAGCCCTTAACTTGACACCTCCTGGCCCTGCAAACATACAAGGACCCCAGCTTCTGGAAGCCAGGTCTTCCCCAGCCCTTCCTGCTGCCACGCTGGCATCTCCAAGCCCAGCCAACAGCAAGGGTCCTCAGCTGTTCCAGGACGGATCCTCACCAGATCTGCCTGGGGCTTCCCAATATGGCCTTCCAGCCCTGAGAGCATCCCAGACCCTTCCAGGAGTGGCAGCTTGAGCTGTCTCTGAACCTGGAATGCTCTCCCAACTGGAGTTATCTTACACCCCTCCCCAGTCTCATGGGCACCCAAACCCCTGGCAGGCTGCACTCCAGTGTCCCGCGGCAAGCCCTCTGCCAGCTCAGCTGACACCACGTCTGCACTCCAGACTTGCTTCCCTGAAACAGCAGCAGGTTGACACGTTCTCTCGTGGCCCCAGACCCACCTCTCCAATGTAGGCCCTGAACCTCCAGCGGGGCCACCCTTGCAGAGGAGGTGCCAGAGGCTTCTGGACAGTTCCCTTCGTGGTGGTGTCCCCCCCCCAGGGACCCCTCTGGAGATGAGCCACACACCTCACAAGGGCACAGCCCAGTCTCCCTCCCCCACAGGGGTCTCTGTCCACCCGGGTCCCTGACTACCAGGGGACCCACACCCATGATCCCCCTTTTCTGACTGCGGGACCCTCCACGACCTGGACACTTGAGCCCTGAGCATAGGTGCAATGACCCTAGGACTTTATTCTCAAGTGAAGAGGCTACTTGACACCAGGCCCTTGGCTCCTTGGGCTGAGCTAGACAGCAAGAGTGTTGCCAAGGCCCCCAGGACAGAAGGGGCCCAGCCCTGAAGAACCAGCACACAAGGCATCTGCCATGTTCCTCCTGGGCATACTGCCTGAGCACCCAGCTGCTAGGACCCCTGTCATGACTAACCTGGGTGTCATGGAGACCACTTCAGGAAGCCACAGCCAGCTGGGAGGAGAGCCCCG